CATACTAGGGTCAATTTAGTATGAGTAATTGGGATTCATTATGAAATGAGATCAACTTTAATGCCAAAACGCTACAAATGAATAACGTGCCAACATCCAAGACTTGTTATCTTAAATATCGTTGGTTCGTTTATTAATTATAGACTCAATGAAAAACCTAGTTCCATTGGTTTAACTTCTCACTAATAACTTTTTTCAAACAAAACGAAAATATCAAAAGGGTTTTGTGGATATTATAATAATTTCAATGGTTGAGATCATGGGTCAATTGAAGCTAGATCACCATGGAAAACCTGGGAGCACTGGACGGCCGTTTCGTCCCGTTGTGGGACTCCTCAACAACGTGCATCCATGGCCTCGCCTCACGGGACTCGAACCCAGGACCTATCAGTCTCGCGAGCCAGCGCTTAACCACCATACCACTGAGTTGGCCGGCATCCAACGGTGTCAATGTCTCACTTCGACTCATGATCTTAACCATTCAAAAAGAAAATACTGCAACCGCTCAACGAGAGAATAAACAAATCAGACCAAAAAGTTTTCTCTCTTAGCTCTCTCTCTCTCTTATTTTTATTATTGTTATTGTTATTATTTACATTTATGATGTAAAATCCAGTTTATTTACATAAATTAATATCGGACAACTTGTATTTGTTTACAGTATGATTGTTGTTATCATTATCATCTTATTTTGTTATTGTTGGTAACGATGACGATGTTTACGTCACCGTCAGTTATGTTTTGTTTTGTTTCTTTAGCTCTAATCATTAATGTTGTTATTGTTGCCACCATCGTTCTTCTCTGTTATGATCTTTGTTGTTATTATTTCTATAATCATTATTGTTCCGAGAAATGACATATAAGTAGCTAGAAAACAAAGTTCTCTCTCTCTCTTTCTGTTTTTACTTTCTCTTCTCGATTTACAAATCGAATAATTTCCCCATTAACTTCATTTTTCCTTGTACTACTTTAATTTTGTTAATTATAGAGTTGTCTTTGAAGCATTTTTCTCGAGTTTTGTAGAATGATTGAGTGAGTAATGTTGAGATTATACATAGGATACTTGGCAATTGTGACAAATCGGTTGATGATGAAGGTTGTGAATCTTTATTGTGTCTCTAGCCATCACCTACTACGGTGACCGATTCTTGGTAGTTCAGAAGTAGGTTAGAAGAAAGTTAATGGTATCCAAATTAAAATTTGGGGGCAATTCATGAGGTCATTAACCATTGCTGTTTGAGTTATGTTTGCCGATGAAGATTACCTGGTTGGGTTATGCTTGCTTGAAGACTTTGAGTGATATGACTCAGAATCGTTCAGGTTGACTCAGATGTATTCAAACTTTGTCTTCTTTCCTTTGGGAAGGGTCCCAAAAATATCCCTCATCAACGTCCCCAGTGGCCCAGAAATTCCAGAAAACGTTTTTTCCAATCAGCGTTTGATCAGATCTCAGAAACGTCTAGGAAATACAGGATCATGTGCCGCAGTTCCGATTGAATATTTACCTATGCTGTTGTGGTGTATACTACTTATTTCTGTCAACATAAGTAGTATGTAGCACCAATAGAATGTGGAAAACCTGACAACAGAAGGTTGGGATGATCGAATAGAAGAGAATGGGAACAGAGAGCAATTGTTATGGCAGTGAAGGAACGATGAAGTTTGAGACAATTGGTGGTGGATTTGCAAATAAAGTACTGAACGTACGGTTTTCACATTTGGTCAAAGAAATCTTTAACACATTGGTTGTCCCCACCTGTGTTCTCGTTCAAAACAATAACCATATTTATTATGGTTTCAGGAATTCACAGAAGTTCAAAGGAAGTGTGTAACTCTATAGATATCCTCGTTTTTCTGTACATAAATGAACTATGAAGTAAAGTTTTTATTTGCAATTCGCGTCTTCTCTTTAGTGTTTTAGTTGACGTGTAAAACAAGTTGGGGATATGCGGACCGGCTAGGAAGAGAATTTAAGCAAGACTTTTATTATTATTATTCAATATAATATTATTAGTACAATATAGAATCCTCAGCACAAAGTATTTCAACAAGTATCCTTTTCTTATTACTTGATCGATCCCGACAATAAATATTGAAATCTTGTAGTGACAATGAGAAGTCGCTTTGTCAATCATTTGACAAGGATTCTTAAGTTGTGATTACACTATAGTTATGCGACATGTCTAGACTTAGTAGGAATCGAAGACAGTCCACCCTGCCAATTAGTGATCGCCAGTTTGATGTTATCAGCTCAGGAAAAGACATATGAATAATGTTCATTCTTGATCATATAAATTAATCAACGGTCTGAATGACTATCAATAAAAATCAAAGTCAGATGCACAAGTATATCAGTCTACCAATTAAACAAACTATATACCACAGAGTGTAGATAAACGAGAAAACCCATAGATCCAGGTTTTCCTGATACCTTCTTTGAAACATTTGGCAATGATCATAAATTGAATCACGAAATAATCTTAGTTAGACCACCACCATTTGAAGCACTAGGCAACTGTTCTGTCGTAATAAGAGATTCCTTAGCATTTCTCATCCGCAACCATACATCCGGGGGTCAAATTCAGAGTCTTCATTCTCATGCTCTAGTGCCTAACTTCTAGACCACTGAACCGTCATTCATTAGTGTGCATATCTAACTTTAAACTGCCATTATCTGCCTCATTTCTGAAAAGGTTGAACTCTAATGTTCATAGCTTCGCACTAAAACTCCAGAAGTTTAATCTTGAAGCTAGTCACTAGTGTGGACATGATCATTATTTGTATAGAGAAGGGGGATTTGTAGGGATCGTAAAGTCCCCATAGTTTAAATCACGAACTGATCACAGCATTCTATTCGTCGTAAAGCTGGAATTGTTGAAATAAAGTAAAATAAACTCTTCAACTTTGGGAGATATTTACATGATTTGCACATTCTTAAATAGTTTAAAATGTATTTTGTACAGCTGATAGTGCAGTGTGTCATGTATATTCTAGTCAGTTTACCAGTCAACCGACTCTTTGATACTATCAGAATTTCCTTTGCACTCCCATTCCCGATTACTCCAAAAGATAAATAACACAAGTAAGATATATGTAGTTGAAGATCAGCAAAGACTGATCAAAGCAAACAACTTATATACTTCAGCTAATTACCCTTCATTGGAGAATAAGACCGGAATCTAACACTATTTCCTGGGATCTCTAAGTGCTATTCATTTTTTGATGTTTGCCTTAAATTCCTGGTGCAACATGTCCTCTGATCTGCGTCTTTTCCTGTTATCTTGACAACTTCAAGTTAGGGCTTGTTATGTGTTGCAGTTTGATGATTTCTGCAAAATGTGACTTATCCAGCCTCAGCATCTTTTCTTAGAATTTCTATTCAGCTAATTTGTTCTCTGTCACAGTCAGTTATTGTTGATGGTCACTTGACAATGGGTCTTCAGTATCTTGAGTAGACAGTTGTTTATAAATGCTCGTATTTACTTAATGATGGTTGTAGCAGTTCTTCAAGTCTCAGCTCCGTAAAACAACTGTTTTGAGATTGATGTTGAAAATTCTGACTTTGGTGTTGTTTGACAGTTGTTTTGAGCTCCAAATATTCTTCATTTGTATGAATGCTGTCCTCACTTTGGGAATTCAAGCCTTCGCTTCTGCATAAGATCCACATTGTTTATCAATGGTACTGCCTCGGTATGCATAGGCTTCTACCTCTTTTAGAGCTTCACCATCAAGTGTGATTCCGTTCCAAGAAAGCAACATATATGCGCATAAACACATGTACAACGACTTTACAAATAGTGCAGAAAACCTAGCATACTAAACGAACAACTGACTACTAAGAAAAAAGCCTTTAATTATGGTCAAATTGAAATTTGGCTCTCATGGAGATATTAAAGATGAAGAATTAGAAATTTAGATTTATATTATAGAAAGTAAAATAGCAGAATAGGATATGTGTTCATGAATTTGTAGCTCAGCTGTTTTACAATATTTAATATGTGTACAATATCAAGCAGTTTGAGGCATTTTTCCATCTATTTACTGAGTAATGCATGGAACAGCATAATTTTCGCTGAGGTTTTCATTTCAGGCTCTAAGTTTCCCATCGTCTGTTCTTTCTTCATAAGGCAATGTTGGGATGCTCTAGAGCGTATACTCACAAAAGACATATGTGGATAACTTCAGATAAATAAAAAGAAGTTGTCAGTGAAAATCATGCACTAATAATCAGCACACACTCACTAAATAGCCGGAAAAATGTTCTAAATGCTAGATATTGTATATTTTAAATGTCAGAAGAATGATGATTTATCACACACGAAAATAACCAGTAAATAAATTGTTGTCTAGGAGTTTGAGTATCTTCAATACTCCGAAAATGTCTATCATTGAAGAAAAAGTACTACTGATGAAACCTTTTTATCCTATCCATGTACTTATTTAACTTCCTAATTGATAAAATAATGAAAATAATAGGGATGATGTGTTGGGAAAAAATTAAAGAGGACTTCACCTAAACACGGCATTTTTCCATGAAATAGTCATTGACTGTTGGACTGATCCACTTTTGTGGATGCAAACTAATCGGTTAGGGTTCACTCGATTATCGTAACCAATGGTTAATGATGTTGAATAACCATAGTTCAGAATCGATCACAATAGTGCAGATTCATTTCCAATTTGTTTTCTTACTTAGATCCTGAGTTCTAAAATTGTCTTATACATGATTATCTCACGAATTTCTTATTTCCTCGTGAATCATCTTGTCTATTTCTAGTGTGTTTCTGTTATTGGATCTTTTTCCTTGATAATTTCATCACTCTGAGCTGATATAGTATAATGATTTAAATTGAACCACACTAAGTTCTACTCTGCTTCTAGCTACGACTAACTGACCTATTCCTACTAACGTGTGAATACTTATCAGTTTGTATTTATGCTTCGGTTAAAACCTTTATTGATTTGTTTTTTTTTTGTATTTTCCGCCCTCCACCTTAAAGTTCACTGTAATATACCAGAAGCTATGGATTCTGAAAATTCATTAGTGATGACATGTGAAAATCTTGCATACACATCATCATCGTCACAACAACAAACATCGTTGTCATCCGCAGTAATCGTAGTACCGGCAGTAGTATCATCATCAACAGGAACTTCATCTTTGACATCAGTGATGACCACTGCAGCTGTCACAACAATACCAACTACAACAACATCACAGACAACAAAGACGACAGCCACGTCAAGTACAAATGGTACCTCTTCAACTGCAAACAATAATAATAATAATACATCATTAGCTCAAAGACAATACTATCGATCACATTGTGCACGTCCCAGATTCACTTATGCTAATTTAATACGTCAAGCAATATTAGAATCACCGGGACAACAATTATCATTAAGTGCAATTTACGTATGGTTACAACGTGAATTTGCTTATTTTCGACAAAATGAAGCTACATGGAAAGTGAGTTATTTGTTCTTGTTTGTTTTGTTCTTTCGATTTCATTATTCAAAGAAAATAATTAAGGAAATGTGTTAATAATAAAGGAAGCATATAGTTGTACTCTGGTTGATCAATCACTGCATATTAATCATTTTCCTCTTTGAATTAGTCTTTAGAGATGATAGAATCCAATCGATCAAGTTTCAATCTAGGCCATTCGTTTAAGTGGTTTGACATTGGATTTATTATGTCAGATGATGATTAGCGGTAAGTGGTAGGAACTGTCCCCTTGATCTGCGTTTCGTGTTGGTTATGTTACTTGTTAGCACAAATAGGGTATGTCTACAAATTCGAGAGTACTCTGATGCTCTTCAAGAGATTCTCATCTACATCAGTCATTGTTATTATTATAGATATTCCCAATGAAGTTACTCATGACGTAGTGAACTTTTTTGTAAGGGGTTACTACCGATCACCTTCAACCATCTAACAATAAATGTCTATCGTCTATGATGAAAGATTTATTGCTTGGACAAAGGATCTTTAGCAGTCTTTATATTCCTAAAGTTGAATGATTCAATGTTCTGCAGATGATTAATAGTCATCTATGAACAAAACTCCCATGGGTTCCCTACTTTTCTAAATTGATACTATTTTCGTTATGCAAAAACATGATGAAATTCTTATGATTCATTTAATAACTATCCAACTAACAAAACATGTATAATGTTAAGTAAATTACCGGGATAAAACAAAAAAAAATGATGATTATGAAATAAAATTGAAGCGAGCGGTAATCATCTATCCTCCCATAAGAGTGTTTATGTCCATATGTTTGCTATGAAATACATGAGTGCAAGCTTATGTACCAGTGATATGCATGTAAAGCATAAGTGTTTGAAGATGGTAGTAAATACAAATGAAGGGAGCAGTGACCATCTACCTCCCCAAAGGGACGCCTCATGATGAAAGCCGAGATTCTTCGAAAGTCACGAGGCCGATGCCACTTCTAGCAATTAGAGAAACAATTTTTATAGGTAAATGGAACGTCCGGACAATGTGGGAAACCAGAAGGACCAGTTGAATAGCAACGGAAATGAGAAGATACAACTTGGCAGTGCTCCGAATCAGCAAAACCCATTGGATCTAATCTAGACAGCGAAGAGATGATTCTGTACTCTGGACACGAAGAAGAAATTGCTCTTCACACTCAGGGAAATGCTCTGATGCTGTCCAAAGAAGCATGAAATGCACTTATTGGATAGGGATTTCATGGATCCAGGATCATCAAAGCATCCTTCAAAACAAAGAAGGAGGGAATCAAAATGAATGTTATGCACTCACTAATGATAGCGACGAAGACAATAAAGATAAGTTTTATGGGAGGCTGCAATCAATCATAGTGAAGTGCCCAAGAAGGGATCTCACCATTCCGATAGGACATCTAAACGCCAAAGTCGGGATGGAAAATAACAGTTATGAAGATATCATGGGACGACATGGGCCAATTGAGAGAAGGAAACAAAAATGGAGAGATATTTGCAAACCTACGTGCATTCAACAAATTGGTTATAGGCGGCACAGTATTGCCAAGCAAACGCATAAACAATGCTTTATGAGTCTCACCGGATCACACCATGGAGAACCAGATAGATCATATTTGTATCAATAAAAAATTCCGAAGGACAATGGAAGACGTTAGAACCAGGGGCGAAGCTGATATAGCTTCAAATCACAACTTAATTGTGGCCAAGATGAAACTGAAGCTAAAGAAGCATTGGACAAACAGGATTACAAAGGTTCAATACGGCCTTCCTTCGACGTATTAATAAACTCAACGAATTCAAGATAACTTTCAACAACGGGTTCCAAGCCCTAAAAGATCTACTCAAAGAAAAATAAACTACGATGGAGGATAATTGGAAATCTATCCCGGAAGCACTAACTTCAACATGTCAGGAGGTTATGGACCGCAAGAAGCATCATCATAAGGCACGAATCTTTATAGAAACCCCGGACAAGATCCAAGAAAAGAAAGAACAAGAAGACAGCAATTAACACCAGCCGAACAAGAGCAGAGAAGTTTACGGCAAAAGCTGAATACTCGGAAGTAAGCAAGCAAGTGAACAGGAGCATCAGAGCTGACTATGTAGAAGAGCAGATGGGCCGCAAGAAAAGGAATTATCAGACAACTATATGACACGACAAAGAAACTGGGGGGGGGAATATAGTAAACCAGAGAGACCGGTCAAGGACAAAGAAGGCTAGCTAATCACTGAGATCCAAGAGCAGAGGAACAGATGGACAGAATACTTCAAGGAACTCTTCGGTAAACCAGTCCCAATGAATCCACCGGACATCGAAACAGAACACACAAATCTTCCTATGGATGTCACTCCACTAACAACGGAAGAAATCAGGATGGCCATCAGACAAATCAAGGGGGGAAAGCAACATTACCTGACAACATACCACCTGAAGCTCTGAAGTCAGATATAGAAGTAACTGCAAGTATGCTTCACACTTTATTCAAGAAGATTTGGGAGGAAGAACAAGTACCAACAGACTGGAAAGAAGGATATCTCATCAAGATTCCAAAGAAAGGAGATCCGAGCAAATGTGAGAACTACAGAGGCATCACACTACTGTCAGTACCAGGAAAGGTTTTTAACAGGGTGCTGCTGAACCAGATGACAGACTCAGTAGATGCCCAACTTCGAGATCAACAGGTCGGATTCCGTAAGGATCGGTCGTGCAAAGACCGAATTGCGACACTCCGGATCGTCGTGGAACAATCGAGTGAATGGAACTCGTCACTATACATCAACTTCCTTGATTATGAAAAAGCATTTGACAGTGTGGATAGGAGAACACTATGGATCGTCAACATCATGGAGAATTCATACGACGGACTATAGTGCGAAGTCGTGCGTGGGGGACAGCTGACAGACACATTCCAAGTGAGGACCTGAGTATAACAAGACTGCTTACTCTCCCCCTTTCTCTTTCTTCTGGTGGTCGACTAGATTATGAAGACCTCGACATCTGAGGAGAAGCACGAAATACAGGGGACAGCTCGGAATCAGTTAGACTATTTGGACTTTGCAGATGACCTATCTCTTCTATCCCATACACACGAACAAGTGCAGATGAAGACAACTACTGTCACAGCAGCCTCTGCATCAGTAAGCCTCAACAGACACAAGGAACAAAGTAAGATCCTCAGATACAATACAGAGGACAACAACACAACCACACTTGATAGAGAAACTCTGGAAGAGGTGGAAAATTGCACAAATCTGGTCAGCATCATCGATGAACGTGGAGGATCCGATGCGGACGTAAAGGCGAGGATTGGCAAAGCAAGGGCCGCATTCCTACAGTTGAAGAAGATAGGGAACTCAAAACAACTGTCAACCAATGTCAAAGTGATAATCTTCAATACGAACGTAAAGACGGTCCTACCATACCGAGTTGAAAATTGAAGAACTACTACAACCATCATCAATAAGGTACAAGGATTTATATACAGTTGTCTACACAAGATATTCAATGTCCGTTGGCCGGATACCATCAGAAACAGCCTACTGTGAGAGAGAACAAACCAGCTTCTAGTTGAAGAGAAAATTAGAAAAAGACATTTGATGTGGATAGGACATATATTGAAGAAATCATCAAGCTGCATACTGAGGCAAGCCCTAACTTGGAGTCCTGAAGGGAAACAGAAAAGAGGAAGATCAAAGAATGTTCAGAGTTGAGAATTGGAAGCAAACATGAAAAGATTGAATAGCAACTGGAAAGGATTGCCCAGGATAGAGTTGGATGGAGAATGCTGGTGAGCGGCCTATGTTCCTCGACGAGGGGTAGCAGGCGTAAATAAGTAAATAAGTACAACAACCAGTTACATGTAATACATCTTTCATCCATTCAATAGTTGGTGGATTAGTTGCACACTCAAGTCACCGCTGAATATAATCCAATATATTATTCCTATAAAGTGTTCCTATCTTATGATAGACTATTCCATATCACCTGAGTACAATTTTTAAATGATACTTTGTATCAATACAGTTAGGTCCTGTCATACTCCAGTTATCTTTACCACTTGTATTGATCAAGCTATGAATAAAAAATGAACTATTTTTTTCTTCTGTTGTATTTTATTGATGATATATAAGATGGTTGGAGGTAGTCAATATGCGAAATCCTGTTGAACCTAGGTTTCGTGCTATTTGGAACTCATCAAGAAGACACGAGAAGTTTTGAGAGAACTGACCCTCTTCTAAGAGAGTTAAGCCCGCATATATTTGAAATTTACGTTTAATTATGATACAATGTCTTTACATTATTTCTCATTAGTTGTCTCATAATGAACAGTTGAAACTTTAAATCTATCTCATAGCATTATTTTCCTTTACTGGACTCAGTGAATGATAGGTGCTTACTGGGTATGAGTTAGATGAAGAATGAATAATTCGTCAGTAATGTACAACGTCTTTCTACGCTGACTGGATGGTTAAATTCATAGCTCGTTATTTAAAGTGCATAATCTTTTGATAGATTATTAAGCTTTAAATGTCTCACATAGGCTGATTTATATAACTAGAGTATTGTTAATATTGTTTACTTATCGATAATCTCTTACTGACTTACATCTGTAACCCCTCATGGAGCATGGGCTGAAAACCAGGATTTTCTAACTTACTCTGTCTTGGGATCTCCTTTCTAGTTTTCTCCAAGTGGTATTCATTCTTTTGACGTCTGCATCCAATTCCCTATGCCATATGTTCTTATATCTGCCTCATTTCCTTTAATTTTGAGGATTTCAATTAAGAATTTGCTTTTTTATGCAGTTTGGTTATTTCCACAATCTGTGACCTATCCACTCTCAATGTGTTTTCCCAATTTTCACTTCAACTGGAAGCTGGTTTTTTCTCTGCCACAGTATTGATAATTAGCCTAATGTATATATTATGTGTTCAATAATTAGGTGCACTGGTTCCTTTCAAAAAGATTTCTCTTTTGTGAAATCAAACAGTTCAGTTGCCTTATTGTTTCCTACAGAATTTTTCCAATCTTTCCAATTACATATTTTGCTAGAATTGTATATACAGTAAACATTTTTCAAATTCAATTCGTCAAGAATCTTCTGAATATGTGTTCAGTGTTTTTATCACCTTGTCAGGTTGACATTGTTACTCTTCTTGACCAAAATTTTTAGTCTTCATGGTCCTCACTGAAACGTTTAGTTAACTTTCAAAAAAAAACTTTTCTGTGGTGTACTATCTTCATAATCAGCCATAAATGTATGAGAAGTTTTTGATAGAGTTTTATACTGACTAACAGTAGAATTCAGGATGGCCCTTTCGTCCTGCTTCGGACTCGTCATAAGCTGACTATATTTTTATCCAATTGTTTATATTTGAGCTCATATATGAGCTCAGCACCGTTTGATTAAAATGACCAATATGTTATTCACCAAGTCATTAGCTTGTGCAATCAGTACAATGAGAAAATGTGAACCCTCAAAAAATAACTTCTTAAGTTTTGACTAAATCTTAACAACCTGATTACTTACTTACGCCTGTGACTCCTCGTGAAAGCCCTTCTGGGCGTGCTGCCAGTTCGAAGCCTGAATAGAGGAGGAGGTTTGGACGTTGGGGTCAGCACCCCCCATCCCTTAGAAAACAACCCTGCTAAAAAACGCCGACCAGAAAAAATCATTTAAATCTTAACAAGCAATTACTGAATTCCCCTTATAATTAATAGTAGTAATAATGGTGATAATATTAGTAGTATTGATAACCAAACAACTAACTTGTTTTTTTCTATTTCCCACCACACAACACATGGTGAGTTTGTGTTTTAAATGCAAGATGTTACAATATATTTATTAGTTGTCATCTACAGAATAAAAATAAACACTAACAACCAACATATTAAATGTTTATTTTTTTTACAATTGTTCTTCCTTTCCATCCTCCCTCCACCCCCACTCGCTATATTACTACTTAAATGACCAGTAGTAGTATCTTTTCAAAGTGATTAGTGTCTAGTTATGTTGTTAATAGGGTACTAGGAAGATTTTTTCAAATGTTGCTCTCTAATCTTACAAATATCGTTATTATTATTATTATTATTATTATTATTATTATTATTATTATTATTATTATTATTATTATTATTATTATTATTATTATTATTACTAGTATTATTATTAATGATGTGTTCGTTTTCAATTTTCGATCATGCCAAGTTAAAAGCTTGTGCCTAATTAGTCTCCGTCACAATTAGAAGTAGATGAACACATATCTCTGTCTCTCTCATATGTGTAAGTACATCTATCATTGTTATTATTATTATGACGATGATGGTGAACAAACATATAATGAATTCTATTACGGTGTTTATTTATTAATTTACTTAGTTTTATTTATTTGTAGCCTCTATAAACAAACTGTCTTATGTAGAGAGATAGGTACAGTGGATAAAATGTATAAGTGAACACTTGTACACTTCTACACAAGTATGTAGATTGTCTAGATAGACAACTAATGATGTTTTCGTTTGTTGAAAGAACTAATATTTATCATTTATATATGAAAGCAACATGTACGTATATTTGTCTATCTGCCTATCTCTATTTGTGTGTTTATTTGCATAATGTTGAATTGGGTTAGTTGTTTGTATTTGCTATTATGTAACTAGAGTCAGTTTGATTTGAATAAAATTAAATTTATGGAAGAAGTCAATTGAAGGTAGACAACCGTGGAAAACTTGGAAGCACTGAATGGCCACTTCGTTCTATTGTGGGACTCCTCGGCGGTGTGCATCCACGACCTCGTCTCGCGAGACTCCAACCCCGGACCTATCATTCTCGCTCGCGAGCATTTAACCTCTACACCATTGAAGTGGCTGGCATCCAATAGTGTTAATGTCTGAGTTTGTGGCTATTTGGATCCAATAGTTCAGTTTATAACATGTTGACAGTTTTAACGAAATATACTACCTTAGTTGAATCTCAATATATTATGAATATTGACATTGGAATACAGCTGGTGCTACATCTATATTCGCCTGCAGAGAGATCCAAATACACATCATGGGATTTCACTGCTCTAATATTGCCATAATCCTAATGTGATAAAACTTGCTTCCTTTACATTTTTCCCATTTGTTTGACCTTTTTTTAAAACTTTTTTTATCATAAAAAGTTATCATCTCTCCTTTTTCCCCCATTTATATTAACAGAATGCTGTAAGGCATAATTTATCATTACATAAATGTTTCCGACGATTGGAAACCACATCTGGTTCAGTTTGGGTTGTTGATGAAAGTGAATATCAAAGACGTAAGGCTAAACGAGCAGTGTAAGTGAAATAACAGTAATAATAAACATTTTTGTTTTCTTTATGTGTGTATGGGTGATTGAGTGCAGTTTGCATACAAAACAAACAGACAGGAACAGTTGTAGTAACATAATGAAAACTGTACTTACTTTATACATTTGAAGCATTGCTCCTGTTTTTGTTAGGAACACCGAGTAAGTAATGTAAAGGTTTGATATAGGGTACTAAATAATTATGACAAATTGATTGATAAAGTTGCAAGTCTTTATCAAGTTAAATGGATAGAATATTTGTTAAGTATGCACGACCTACTTGAATGAGGAATGCTTGCTGATTTAAGAGTGAGCTGAAATAAAGCTAGGAATGGTCGTCAAACAAGAATTTGGGATAATTCTATAAATTTAATGACTGCTGGATTGAACTGCGTTGCTCTGTGAAGATTACCTGACTATAGTTCTCACAATTATTGTAACTTATGATTACAGAGACTTTTTCTCCGCAATGAGTATGATCAGTCGAATAGATTTATTTGATGAAACCAACTTACTATTAAACTTCAGATCATAAAAACACTACAACTAAATAAATTTTTTAATACAGTGCACATTTTAGATCACCATAAAGATTGGTTGATTACTATGCACGGGAGTGGATTTAGAGGTGTTTTTATGAATTTCATGGTTGACATCACAGAATACTCTTAGTTAAATAATTATTGAAGACCAGGAGACATTAGGGCTCTTCAACAGTGTACATTCAAGATCCTTTTGCCCGGGGGGGGGGTCGAGCTCAAGACCTTCAGTCTCAATCAAGAACCCTTAGTCTTCAAGGCAATTGACCCGGCATCGAATAATGTACACATTTAGCTTCAATCAACTTGCGATATTACGCAACCACCTTCCACTAAATGCGGTCGATATTTATTTCACGCTCGACACAGTTGAAGTCTACTAGTCACAGACTGACGGAGAGGCGTAGTGTAATTCCGGATTTCTAAAAAAGCCTTTCCATGAAAAATGTATTATTTGACTAACAATAATTAAGGAATCAAATAAATTACTACCATTTCAGTGTAATATATACTTTTTCCCCACGGAAAAAAACACACCAAAAACACAGCAAACCACAAAAGAAATAATCTAAAGAATGGCTCGTAAATCTCATTCACCTTAGAAAGGAATCCAACCGTGTTATTGATTTCTTTCTCTGTATTTTTTTTTTCTGCCGGTTGGCGAATACAACATTCAGAATTATGCGTAAACGAGAAACTTATTACAATTCACGTGTTTCTGTTGTTCATTCATTCATTCATCCACTGTATTTACTTACTTGCCTACACTTACTGTTCTGACTGTGAGTGGATTGAATGAGAAGAAAGCAACTGATCGATAGTTTAAGTTTTAGAATCAGATTAAAGTAATTCATTTTTTTTTAGAGAGAGAGCATTGTTTGTTTTGTTAATGAAAGCTATGGATTATAAAATGCTTAATAAAAATACAAATGTGATGTAAACAAATACGCGCATAAATGATACTTTTTAATTTCAGCACAATAAGTGTCCATTTTTAGATTAAGATGGTAGTTGTAGCTACTTATTTAAAATAAGTAGTTTAGTAGTAGTAGCCATGTTCAGAAATGACTGTCACTTTGGCTTTAGTCACCTAGTTGTCAGGATATGTTCAACTTAAGTTTAATGATGATTTTGAGTAATTAGTAAGACAAATCTACAGTCTTGAGTGGATTGATCTCCTCCAGAATATTCGAACCCCTGTTACCCAGTATTGTAGTACCCAAATAATTTTGTGCCATCATCTTTAACCATTTGATTGCGGTGGTGATGAACATTCAAATATCATGGAGAATGGCGGTCCTCTCGAAATTGTATATTCTAATTTGTTGTTAATATTCAGTAATTAATAAGAGTGATTTAAACATTCTATATGGACTATGCCAAATCTGTTCTCATTCCAAGCATACTTTATAATGAATTGCATAAAGGCTTGGGGGGTTTTTATAAAAAAACAAAATTCACTGTGTTTTTACAGTTCGTTCAGCTAGCCCAGTCTACCTTTATTTCAACGTAGTCCGTTTTTGCCAAACACTTAATTATACGGTCATATTGATATTTCTTATGAAAAGGATTATGCT